CATATATATATATATATATATTGATGAGCATTATTTTTAAAAAATTTAATTGGCTACAAGGCTACAAAGATTTATAATATCAATTAAGAAAATAGAATAAAAATTATTAAATTGGATTCAAATGATGTTTTGATATAAACAATAATTTTTAAATGTAGCCCCAACCCTTAATATCTTATAGCTATGTGATTAGGGTTGTCAAAACGATTCTTTGTTCGTGAAGGTGAACATCTGGGGCTCGGCTCGCTAAGAAACGGAGCCGAACACGAACACACTTTTTGAGCTTGAAATATACGTGTTCGGCTCGTTTACACCCCTAGCAAGATGGAGTTTTTTTAAAATTTGAAAATTTAGGTGTCAGATATGTAAATACATAAGTATTAAGTGATATATATGCAAATCTTCCTTATAAAATATGATTTTTTTTGTCGCTAACTTAAAGCCTGTTTGGAATTTGCGTTCGTCGAGTGATTTGCTACCGCTGTCATCCACGCGTCATCATTTTGTTAGTAGGGGTGATCGCGGGACGATCCCCGCGTCCTGCGTTCGCTGCTCACGTTAGGGTAAGCAATTCCTCCTATGCCCTTCTCGTCTCTGCTCTCCCTCGCCCTCTCCCTCTCCGATCTTTCTACCCTTCACCCTCGTCGTGATCGTTACTGCGTCAAGGAGGTATTTCCCTAATGCCTAGCTGCGAAATACGGTGATTTGTTTCTGGAAGTGGCGTTGGAAGGAGTGATTTTTCTTTTTCCCAGTCTCTCTTATCATTCTCTGCAATTTATGTTGGGAATGTTGGTTTAAGAGTCATTTGCTTTGCCATAAACAAATTTAGGGTTGATTTTTTGTTGCTATATAATGTGCGGCAAAGTTTTTCTATTGATCTGGACGAGGTGTAATGGTGGTATACCAACTGATGAATGTGTCTAATAAACATTGTTGCATTCAATTTGAAAATGTGGCTATGAGCAGTTGCGATTGTTATGGTTGCCGATAGATCTGGAAACCATAAAGTCCCCCTCTTTCATTTTTTTGTTAGAAATTTGGGTCCAAAGTGTTGCTGTAAAAGTCCTCTTTCATTTCTTGCTTATAAGTCCTCCTCTTTCATTACCACATCTGCATGTTTTGGAAGTTTTTGGGGAGATGATGTGATATGGAGTGATTTCAAATGAGTGCTGAGAGAAGAAATTGGCTGCAGTTTAGTTGTGAAGTGGAGTGATTTCATTGTTTATTTATATCTGAATTAGCTGCAGTTAATGGATCATGTATTTGTGAAGTAGCTTGATTCGCAGTTTCTGGTCTTATGTATATGATGCAGCAGTTTGTATTGTGGTTTCTAGTTACTAGCTGCAGCAGTTTGTATTGGTTGTGGTTCATGGTTCATGTAATGGTTTTGTTATTAGCTGCAGCAGTCAATGGCTCTATTATTAGCTGCAGCAGTTTCTATATTAGCTGCAACAGTCAATGACTATTATTAGTTGCAGTTCATGGTTGATGTAATGACTCAGTTATTAGCTTAGCTTTTCATTTTTATGTTGCAGTTTTTGTTTTCTGTTTTGTTGTTGCAGTTTGATCTGCAGAATATTTGTGTATGGCTATGTTATTAGTTGCAGCATTCAAGTTTTATGTTTTTGATAGAGCAGTTTGTATAGGGGTTTCTGGTTTTAGTTGTACTACCTGCAACAGTTTGTATTTGACTTTCGGGTACAGGGATTTTGTGCAGCAGTTTCATCTGTTATTGCTGCAGCAGTTTCATAGCTATGTATCCTACACAATTCCGTAATGAAACATTTGTGGCATTCCTTCGATATAGATCATTGACCGAACCACATAATTTTTTCGTGTACTTGTATTTCTATTTTGATTTGTCAATTGCAATGTTGTGGAGATTATTTTCTTCAGTTACTGTTTAGCCTCTAATTTTGTGCTGGAATTTGTAGCATTTTCTGTGATGCAAACTGCATCAGTTTCTCTATTAGCTGCAGTTTGATTAGTTGCTCCTTTTGATTGGCAGCAGTTTGATTGATTGTAGTTTGATTAGCTGCAGTAGTTTGATTCACCGCATGGAATTAGCTTTCTTGTTGCAGCAGCTTGTGACGTGGCTTGCAATTGCTGCATCAATAAATTCATATGTAATAGCTACAGTTTGATTACCTGCAATTTCTGTTTTTGGTTCATGTTATAGTGTTATGTAACCTTACACAATTGCTTAATAAAACATTCGTGGCTTTTCTTCTGTAGCTGTAGGTCATGGACCGAACGACATAATTTCTTCTGTTCAGTATGCAATTGTGTGAGGCATTCTGGACTTTCGAATTTGGCAGTATATTCATGAGATTACATTATATTTCTCAAAATAGTTGTGTGATGTTATTATGTGTGATACTATATTTTGTTTTAACTTTTATGTTCTTCATGTATTGAAAGTTTATTGTTTTAAGTATGTCTATATGGAGTTAGGTTGGAAATGACCCATAATTAGCTTTGTGCATGTACAATTGTTTTCTTAATAATTTTCTTACGCATGTTGAGCATAATGCAATTCTACATATAGTTGCACCATGACTAAACTAAATGAAGGTGCTCCGTTAGCGATGTGGGATAAGGAAGTTACAAATATTTTCTGCAACATCTGTACCAGCGATGTCCTAGTTATATGTATAGTTATATGTATTTATTTTGCAAATAACAATGTCTTCCATAACAGGGAAATACTATTAGTTGATGTTGAATATCCAATGCAGAGGGGCTATCTGAAGCCATATCCAGACACTATGTACCATATTCCTGGTTTTGAGCGAGTAAGTGACACCATTCGTGGTAGGAAAGAAATGTTTAACAAACGTCACTCCTTTTTATAAGGGGTAAGTGAAAGAACGCTTGGAGTTTGAAAAAAGAAATGGGTCATCTTACATGATATGTCGTCATATCCATTTCAAAAACAGGTGCATATTGTGGTGGCAACAATGACACTTCATAACTTCATCCGACGACACCCTTCACGTTTAGATACAGACTTCAGTAACGATGAGTTGAATATCTATGAAAAACCATTAGATTTTTTTATCAGGCCTTCAGTACCTGAGGAAGAGAATGATTGTAATGAATTTGAAGTTCATGACGTGGAGGGTGTTGCTGAGATGGTTGCCATGAGGGAATCTATAGCATATGCTATCTATGACAGCTAATCAACCAAGTCTTTCTTTTCTTTGTACATTATAAATTCATTTTGATGAGTACTTTTTTTTTTCCTTTTTTTTTAATATCTAACATTCGATTTTTTTTTGTTTTTTTTAGCAGTTATACCAACATGACTTCTAGGATTTCAGTGACAGACATAATTATTTTGTGTTTTTGTGGACTACCGGCTCTGTTACTCACGTCGCGTCAGCCTCATAGCAGTGAGAGACAGTTTTACGGTTGTCGCAGAGGTGTTTCAGCTCGTTGTAGTTTCTTCCAATGGGCGACACTCCGACATGTTACACTGCCAGCAGTGATGAGAACCCGATGTTTTCCCAGGTTGATAGTGCAGCTGAGGACAAACGTAGTCAGAGTTTGAAATTGAATATTTTAATATTTCTTATTGTAGTTGTATTTGTTTTTATCCTTTTTTTTTATTTTGTCTCACGAAAGTGTGAGAACTGTATGTCATCTTTTGGAACTAATCTGTGATGATTTTATACATTAATATGCTTATGTTAATACGTTAATATTTAGTTGTGTTATTACAAATTCATATTAAATTTACGCACCACAATTTTCTTAAATATAGTAATTTAATAAAATAAAAAATATCACATATTTAAATTAGAGATATTTACATACATATCTCTCAACTCTTATGTGTTTACATATCCAATACCTAAATTTTTATTTTTACATATATGCCAACTAATCTACGAACGAAAAGGTGTATCTCTCACATTTTTTTGTTAAAATAGGGTATTTTTTGCGATATGAAAGATCTGGGTGGCATAAATGTAAACAGTAAAATTTTGGAGTTACATATGTAAATACATAGGAATTGGGTGGCATGTGTGTAAATGCCGCTTTAAATTGCAGTATTTTAACCACCGGAAATCAATATGATTCTTAGGTTAATTTTGTCATACTAAACTAGATTCCAGCATAACCATCACTCGTTTTTTTTTTTTTTTATCCATTAAATTTAGGGAAATTTACATAAATATCACCCAATTCCAATGAATTTACATATCTAACACCTATACATTGCGTTTTTCATTCATACCAATTTCACATTACATCAAAATATCATTATTTTAACTTCTAAAATATGTTTGACCATTGGATTAAATTAAATATGTTTGTTTTTAAGATCTCAAGATACTTCGGCGATTGCACCGCATCTCCAGATGATGGTCTGAATGGGCACGGCGGCATGGCCGCATCATCGTCCGGATGTACGGGTATGACGAGAAAGTATAACGTGTGATCAGCCATAAATAATAATTTTGCTTGTCATAATTTTCTTGTTGTTGATTGAAGCAAAGTCATTAGTTTTAAAGGGTTATTTATCAGACCTGATAAGGTTTCTGATTTGGGATGAAGCTTCCTAAACAAGTATGCTCGTCAACCAGCTCGAACTTGTAGACTTAAGCTTGAGTTCGAGCTCAAACTTGTAGACTTAAGCTTGAGTTCGAGATCAAACTCGAGAAAATTAATCAAGCCCATGTTCAAATCGAAAGTGACTTGAACTTGACTCGACTCGTTCACATAAATAAGAATCATGTGCTATGCATGTAAATGCTCCGAATTATAAATGATAAAGATAATTTTAGTTGGTCCCAAATCAAAGAAAATAATGAATAAAGAAAATGTTACAAATGTTACTTCAATCCAAACGATGAGGACTGGTTTTATTTGTAGGGTTCTCATCCACGTCGTCATCAATGTACCGCCCTCATTAATTAAGCTATTAATGTCTTGATTTTTTTCTAATTTTTAATTATCTATTTCGGCAGTATTTGAAGGAAATTGACATGACCTTATTGTTCTTTATAGATCTGTTAAAGCTAGAAGTTGATTGCAGTTGTGGATGAGAAATTTTGAGAAGATCAGTTGTCATATTTGATGCATTTGAAATTCGCTAATTTAAGTTGGAGCAGGTCATGATTTGAGGTTTAAAGTACTCGGATCGTTTGTATTATTTTGCGATCAAATTCGATTAGTTTAAAAAATAATAATACTAATAATAATAAATGAAGAATTTCTTGTGGATAAGATGAGCTTAATTAACCACCCAATCCTCTCCAATCGTTCAAACTTAACAAAGTTCATCCCAAATTCCATAAAAATCCATAGATCTTGCAGCAGCAGAGAACGAGATCGATCGATAGAATTAGGACGAAAAAGCATGATAGCCGAATCCATACCCTAAACCTAAAATCGAAAGCCGCATCTAAAACTCCCAAATCAACGATTCCAGAAATCACAAACATCAAATCGATCCGCATTATTCCACATAAAAAAAGGAAAAAGAGCCGTCATCTAAAGCCCAAATCCGACACTCTCAGAGATGCTACTTCTATACAAATAAGAATAATCCGCGGCTTCCCTACCTTAAGGCTCGGAGAATAGCGGAGACGATACGGCGAAATGCAAGTTGGAGGCGAGGTAGGGCTCGATTCGTGTACCCGGAGCTTTCTCTGGCGAAGTTCTCCATGGTTTCGATGAATAGGTTGAAGCTTCTCACCGGCGGCACATAGAGCGTTAGCGGAGCTGCTGAAAACGCGACGGCGAAGAAGAGCTGCAACATGGATGGAGAAGATGGATCTTAATCTCACTTTGCTTCTTCTTCTTCTTCCTGCAAATTGGTGCTGCTTCGCTTGATTTCTTCTGCTCGTAATTTTTGTTTACCGTGAGTGGATTTATAGTGTGGGGAGGGAAGATTGGAGGAAGACGGCACACGGATTCTTGCAGGCGGTTTGGGACCCGTGGTAGGCCGGACCGCCGGACTTGGATAAGGAGGTCTTTTCGGGTACGGTATGGTTTGTTTTGGATATCCGTATCCATTAAGCATGAGACAATAACTTTATTAGATATTCATGGTTCTTATGTGGATGATTTACTTTAATTGAAATAATATTATTAGTGATATTTTTTTATTTAATAGTTTGATTATATATAAATATATAAAGAAATATATAATGAAAAATTATGTATATAAATATGTATTTTTTGTGATGTGTATATAAATTTTACTAAAGATTATCAAAATTGATAGATTTGTAAATATAAATTGTAATTGATAATTTGTAAATATAAATTGTAAATTATAATTAAATAGCTATTGAATAAAAGAATAATAACAAAGCCTAATAATTGACATTGATGCCTACTTGTGGGCCCCATAATGAAACATCAACTTTAAATAAAATTGTTGCCAAATGGGTCTTGAATTCACCATCATTGGGCCAACTCAACGTAATTATTATGAAACACAATTTTGGGTTCTTGCCTGACATGACAAGAAGGTATATTTAGGAAAAACTATCTATTTGGGTTCAATGGTGAATTAATAGATAATTTGCATTTTAAATTATTACTCTACCAATAATCATGAGTGATATTTTTGCCAGTATAAGAGAGAAGAGTTCATCACAATTAATTACAGAATAGAGGTTTATAATGGCTTGATGATTAATGCTTGTGCTACTATAATGAGAATGATGACTTAGTGAGCGAATGAAAGAGACTTATAAATGGATTTTTATTTATTCTTATGTTTCTCATTATCTTCTTAGAGTTATTTCATTTATATACTTAATGTCTTTAATTTTTTTCTCTTTTTGTACATGTATCATTGCACATCCTTTATAATGAGTTGCATGTGGGCTTATAAGCAAAGTTGAATTGTTATTGGCGTTAAGGAATGCTCTATGTTTTGGGCAACTATGGCTTGAATATATGTAATAGCGATGTAAAGGGTTAAGGATTATGTGTGGATGATAATGATGCTTCCAAAAAGGCAAAGTATTTTGTGGCAATGATCCTAAGAAGATTTATCAACAAAATAGTAATGATCAAGGAATGTATGAATTGAATAAAAATCTTCAAAATTTGAGTGTAAAGTACAATAATAACTGGATTAACAGAGAATTCCAATGAAAAGTAACTTAATGGCAGAGAAGGACTCTTAGAAGCATATAACTCTAATAAAAAATTGAATATTATTTTTGGATAAACTGATTAACAAAAAAAATATATATATATGCCTTGAAGAGATGAGCCTTTTTTTATCTACATGTGATGATATGTTTGTCAAAAATGAGGGTGCCCAAATATGATGATCAAGAGTTATATGTTCCTCCTTTCCATTATAGCAAGCCATTCTCATGACAGCCAAGATGGTGTTCTTTAAGTTTCCATGTTTCAGTGATGAGTTAGAAGTTGATGCAAGGCTCCTTCATAAATGTTAGACCCACATAGATAAGGTAGTAAGGTTTATGGCACATTGGCACCACAAAGTTTTCTCATATGTGTTGATTAGAGTTGTCCATCATATCTAACATGGTTTGAGGCATACACCATTGGCATATAAAGCTTGGGTGAAATGGACTTTGAAATTATTAGATTGCTTTGATATTAGTATTGACACACCAACAACAATTTTTCATCATTCAACACGAAATATTGAGGTTTGACACAAATCTCGAGGCAATTGTTTGAGTAAGAAAAAATAAATTTCAATCGAAGATCATCTAGAACTTTGATTTCACGAAACTTAAAGTCAAAACACATCTGCTTGACGAGAGGAACACAATGACAATAAAATTGACCCAATTTGAGTTAAATCAAGCTTAGATCTATCTGTTAAACCATTTTTGAAAGCTTCTGATACCAAATTGGAAAGTCAAATATATTTCAAATTCGATAAGTCTATAATCAAATCGAGCGCCTCAATGAGACAAATCCAACAATCCCAATATCGCTTACTTCAGACGCCATTAAAAAGCTTAAATATCTGTAGAACATTGTTCGATCAAGTGGATCTCACATAGCCATTCGATGGAGTTGTCCATATTCTTTCATTATTTTTTTGGAGGCTTCTCCTATACTCTATAAATAATGCTTTATTCCCTTCATGAAAAGGAACTTATGCCTTGAATCAGATGAAGGCCTGGGCATTGAGGATGATCGAGAAGAGGAGCTGAAGTACCTTATTCTCCTTCGAAGATTCGATGAATGCTTCTCGCAACTGCCATTGTAGATCACCACAGACCATTGCTCGTTGGCTATCGTCGACTAATGTTGGACGCCTTCTGTTTGCTGCAACGAAGCACCTTGTTGAATAATGACCAACATTACAGAGTAAAAAAGTGTTGTGTGGAGTCATGACCAACGTTGTGGAGTAACAAAGTGATACGCAAAGTAGCGACCAATGTTGTGCCGAAATGAAGCACAGGGTGGGGTAATGGCCAACATCGTGGAGAAGCACAACAATCTGTGGGGCGGCATGTCTTAAATGCATCGTAGTGACAAACTCCGAAAACATGCAATGAAATTTCGGCAACTGCAGCCGCTCCCGACCATTGTGCAACAAGTTCTCATGCATATGAGCACTTTAATTATGTGACCATTTCCCGAGGGCATGTACTTATACTCATCAAGCTATAGAGAATTATTTTTGACTGGGCCAGACCCCATGATTTATTTCCTTCTTGAGTTTTCCACATAAAACGTATTTTATTTCTACCCGACCTTTAATTACGTGAGTGCGTGTCAAATTTTTGTACAACGTTAAGACCTTATATAATCACTCTACCCTCACGAATTCTCTAGCACTTATCAAGCATCATACATAATGAATTCATAGTAAATTTAGTAAAATAGACCCAATATTTTAAGAATCATTTTAAGAAAAAATCATATAAGATATTTTGAGCCAATACTTTATTATGAAAACTTGCTTCATATATATAATGCATGTATCGAACAAAATATATACAAATTAAACAAAAGTTCAAAATTATATAATATGCAAATGAACTTTGGACTCATTTTACTATTTTCTATTTTTTTCTCATTCTTTTCATAGCCGATAATAATATGGATGTTGTGGTGGATGAAGCTGAATTCGACCCGATAAAAAGAATAGAGGATCCGATAAACTGAAGAGTCAACCACCGAAGCTTCGACGGACTTTCTGCGTTCGTTCCACGAGCTTGCGGTGGAATGGCTGAGAAATTTCCGGATGCATCTAAAAGTTTTTTGCCGTTATAATAATAATAAGATTATCTTTAATGGCTCCTTAATTTGTAATTAGGAGGTGGGTTTAGGCTAATGATAAATAATGCTAGAAATATTCGTAGTAAATAGAATGTATATTCAGTTATGTACATCAATGATAGGAGGTGACAAAGTAGATAAATTTTAGCAATTGTGTTGAGTAAGGTGGAGCACAGTCCAGTATTTCGTTTGGTCAGTTTTTTTTCATACAAAGTATTTGAATGGAGTTATGACCAAAAAAAAATATGTTGAGATTTTCATACCTATTTTACATTATTTTTGATGATATTGCACTTTAAAGAAAAGTATTTTTGATATTTTGTTGCAGATATGATGAATTATGATTATTGGAGCAAAAAGATGCAAAAATGAGCGAATTTGGAGCGAAAATGACCAAAGTATGAATAATTGAACTAGGGAGCCGACGACGAGCCCAACGGCGCCGACAACGAGATTTTCCCGAGACTCAGATCAATTAATTTAGAAGGCCCGCCGACAGCTCCCTCGAGGCCGCCGACGGTGAGATCGGAGATCGATGGTTATTCCAACTCAAGCTTTGGATAAGGCCAAATTTTGAAGGGATGCTTAGGCAACTCTTGGGAAAACTCTTCTACAACTTTAAAAGAAGATTTTGGCCAAAAATTGGGGGGAGTTCGAGGAGTTCGAGGAGTTCGAAGGTTCGAACAGCATCCAAGAGCCCTAGTAGTGTGTAGAGCGTCTAATTTAGGGTTAGATTGTGAGTAATTTAGGGTTAGTGTAGAGAGTATAATTGTGAGGAATTGTTCGAGAGATTGTAAGGGTGGAGGGAAAGTGAGAGATTTCTTCCTCCTTACCGCTTCGAAGAAGAATTCTGTGTACTGTTAAGAAAGGAAGAGATTCAGAGGAACTTTGAGAAGTTTGGAATTAGAGATAAGTGTTATTTACTTATTATAGTTTGTATGACTTCACTTTTATATATGAATTTTGAGTTTTGTTGTGTCTTCCCCATGAGTTCTGAGTAGTTTTCTTTGTCTTTCTCCTTGTCTTGAGATTTGTGAAATGGTGATTTGAATTGGTTGAGCCTTGAAAATGTTAAAGAAGTTGTGATGATCTTTTCACTTCGATCTTAATTTACCTTCAATCTAGTCAATTGATTTGTTAAAATAAGTTGAGTTTTCCTACTAAAGTGAAGATTACATCCAAGATTCAGGGAGGTCAAAGCCCTTGGAGGTTGGGTGCAAATAAATAGGGAAATAAAATTATCGGGCGTAGAATTGGAGATTTTAGAGTGACAGACTAAAATCCCCAATTC